CTAATTTTTATTGACCCACAGATTATTTATAAAAAAAAAAAGTATAATTAACTTTAAAATTGGATTGACCTAGACATTTTATTTTTGTTGTTGTATAATTTAATAACACTATGGTTTTGGGGGGGCTGACGGAGGTTGTGGCTCAGCCGTAGAGCGCTGGCCTGGCTATATATGAGGCACTGGGTTCCATCCTTAGCACCCCATAAAAATAAAAACAAATAAAAATAAAGGTATTGTGTCCAAATACAACTAAAAAAAAAAAAAAGAAAAAGAAAAAGTACTATTATGGTCACAGAATATGCTTTGAATAATTTTCATCCTTTGAGATATATTGAGTATTTTTTTTAATGTGGCTTATGTCACTGAATGTTTTGTGTACTCTCTTAAATTCTACCATTGATTTAATGTTCTACACCTGTCAGTCCAGTTAGGTCAATTTGTCAATAGTTACATTAAAATGATATTTTTGTCTAGTTCTGCCAATTACTAAGAAAGAGATGTTAAAAATATCCAATTATGATTATGGATTTATATTTTTCCTTTATATTCTGCTTTTTTTCTCTTTGTATTACTTGAAATTCCTTTATTAGGTGCATATATATATTTAGGATTGTTATGTCTTCTTCTTCTTTTTTTTCTTTTTCCTTGTGGTACTGGGGGTCAAATCCAGGGCCTTGTGCCTACCAGGAAGACTCTCTACCCTGAGCCACTTCCCCAACCCCTTGTTATATCTTCTTGATAATTTGATGTTTTTATCATGATACTATGAGGCTCTGGTAATTTTGCCTTGACATTTCCTTTGACAGAAATAGGACTGTGAAAACTCTGCTATGCTTAGTATTTTGGCATACCTTTTCTTACTGTAGTCATTTTTTCTTATTTTTATATGAAATTAGTTTTGCTAAACTTTTAGAAGGAAGAGATGATTGTAGATATCTTTCTAGCTTCACTACTGTGTATCTTCCTTTTTTTTTTTTAACATTTGTGTAATGATTTTTTAAAAGATCTCATTCTATCTGGGATTTTTTTCTCCCCTCCATTTTACCAGCATTTTCTAGTTCCTTTGTCCTAGAGTCTATCCTTCACCATTTGAATTCTACTCCCAGCATTTTCTGTGAGTGCAGAGCTTCACCTGAAAAGGGAGTTTCTCTTGGTAAGTAGGAGGACTTCAGATAGCCCAGACTGTTCTAGTCCTTTCAGAATTAGCTCCATATGTCCTTTCTTCCTGTCGAGGCATTGGAGTTTATAAAACCCTTTCAAGTTTCAGCTGCAGTACTCAGATTGTCTCTGATACTTTTCAGGAGTACTTTATCATAATTTAAACAGGGGTTCTCCTGTTTTTATGGTGTCCCTCTGTTTCTTCCTTGCTCCTCTACAGATGATATAAGTGCATGGCTTCTGTGTTGTCAGTGGTTTGTCCCCACTTAGATGAATTTGAGATTTATACTACCTACTGTCTTAGGAGATATCTTCCTGTGAGCTTTGGTGTGTGTGTGTGTGTGTGTGTGTGTTGCTATCTTCATTTTTAATGGGATTCAGAGAAATTCAAAATTAATTCTGTACTCTATCCATCTTTTGGAGCTATGTGGAGATACTTTATTACTTTGCAGAAAAGAATATTTGTATGTATGCAGTGAAAGAAGTATAGGCTGATCTTTTTTCAGAAAGGGCTATTTAAGAAAAAACATGAGCAGTTTCAGGACTGTTCAGTGACCTCTGGAGTTGTTCCTTACTCTGAATACTGCATTGTCATGGTTACTACATTTCTTTTTCTACTGTATCCTTATGTGCTAGGATCATTCTGAGAGAATCTCACAGTATAGCCAAGTAATGAGGAAGGTCCCAGATAAGACATCTCTCCTCTTTAATGACCTTATGTTGCTACAAAGTGTATAGGAACTCTTGCTTTCAGATTTAGGTAAAGGAATTCAGAAACAGTGTTGCCTATTCATATTTAATATGTAATATAAAATAAATTTGCATTAAAACATTCAATATATACTTTGGAATTCATAAGTCAGCCTCAATTGAATTAGTTAACATTTAGAGAAAATTTTTAGGAAATACGTTTGTAGTTCTTTAATATACAATGTAAAATACCTAATATGTAATGTAAAATAGTATGCAATATAAAATAAATTTGTTTTGTGTTAAAATATTCAATAAACATTTTGCAAATTTAATCCCCCCATTTGGACTTCAAAACCATTTTTTTAAATTGTTCTAGTTAGTTATACATGAGAGCAGAATGCATTTCGATTCATGGTACACACGATGGAGCACAAATATTCATTTCTCTAGTTGTGCAAGATGTAGTCATTCATGCAATCATACATGTACCTAGGGAAATAATGTCTATCTCATTCCACCATTCCTCCTAACCACATGCACTTTCCCTTCCCCTCATTCTCCTCTACCCAATCCAAAGTTCCTCCATTTTTCCTACACACCCCAACCCCTCATTATGGATCAGCATCCACATACCAGAGAAAACATTTGGCCTTTGGTTTTGGAGTTTGGCTTATTTCACTTAGCATGATATTCTCCACCTTCATCCATTTACCTGAAAATGCCATAATTTTATTTTCTTTTAATGCTGAGTAATATTCTATTGTTTTTTTAATGATCTCTGTTTTATTGATGAAAAAGTTAAAACACAATGATAATAAATGGTTTGTTCAAATAGATAGCTACAGAGTCAAGATTCACTCTTCCATGTCTGCCCTTTCTAAATTCTATATTCTTACCTTTTAACAATGTTTGTTTGTGATAAAGTTTCAAAATGTTGCAATACAACTGAATGGATTATAGCTTAGATGTATCTGTTCAGATAGACTGATCTGCTCTATGATAACTGATCTTATGAAGTACAAATACCAGAAAAATGTTCCAAAGCAATACCTGAGCAATAGAAGGATTTGAGACTTAATTTCAGCCTAGCAGGTCACAAATATTCTTTAAGAAAAATGACAAGTTTTCCCTGGAGGAATATATGTGTATTCTTAATCAGTTTTAACAAAATATGATTTAGATATGTCAGACCATTTACACACTCTGCTGCCATCTAATCTCTGGGCAGTTCCAATACTATCAATACATTCTTCAGACACAATGTAATGTCATTATCATAGCTGATGGCAGCTAAATTCTCACATAGTGCTTCTACTCCACAGTCTAATTCTTGACATTAATTAACTACATTGTAACATTTTTCCTAGTAGGCTAACCAGGGAGAAACAAAATTCCCAAGACCCACACATGCAATCAAATCAATGTTGTAATTTCTTCCTAGAATCTACAATCTAGTGTTCCTAAGAATATTGCTGCTCAGAGAAAATAATAAGGCAAATTTTAAAACAGCAGATTGTGGCAAACACTGGCATAAATCTGTAATCCCCGCAATTAGGGAGACTGAGGCAGAAGGACCTCAAGTTTGAGGACAGCTTCAACAACTTAGCAAGACCCTGCCTCAAAATGAAAACTAAAAAGGTTTGGGGAATGTAACTCAGTGGTAGAATACCCCTGGGTTCAAGCCCAGATGAAAGAAGGAGAGAGAGAGAGAGAGAGAGAGAGAGAGAGAGAGAGAGAGAAGAAAGGAAGGAAGGAAGGAGAAAAAGAAAGAAAGGAGAAAAAGAAAAGAAAAAAGAAAGAAAGCCGGGCTTGGTGGTACACACCTGTAATTTTAGGGTCTTGAGAGGCTGAGGCAGAAGAATTGTGAGTTCAAAGCCAGCCTGATTGTGAGGCACTTACCAACTCAGTGAGACCTGGTCTCTAAATAAAATACAAAATAGGGCTAAGGATGTGGCTCAGTGGTTGAATGACCCTGAGTTCAATCCCAGGTACCAGGAAAAAAAAAAAAAAAGGGTAGGTTAGTCACATATGCACACATTCGTCCCTAGGTTTTGGTTTTGTTTTCCTATCCATAGTCAGGGGTAGCTGTGTGTAGTGTTATTTTTTATGTTCAGTACTTAACCATAAATATCTCGTCTTTAAATGCTCATATTATTTTTCATAGTAGGAATTTGAAATCAGGAATATGGCAAACTAAATACAGAGGCATGTGTTGGTATTTGTAGGTATGTATACATATTTTTAATCATGACATTACATGAAGTTGCCTTCAAAGTTTTCACTTCAGGATAAATCAAATTTGAGCTCTGTGTAGGAGAAATAGTACTTGCCTTAGGCCAAGGGTTATTTGAATGTCACCATTTTCTGCAGCATTTCTGGCCTTGTTCTGACCAGCTGCCTAGAGTCCCTCACCATGCATAGTATTATCAATCATTGGCTTAGGGCCTTTTCTGAGCATTGATAATGAGTTTAGAAGACTTTTGTTAAGTTTTAAACCTACCATTTACTAATCATGTGTTCTTTGTCCAAAAACCCTTTTAAAACTCTGAGTTTCTTGTAGCTGTAATAAGATGCAACCTCTGAGTTGCAGCTTCTGAAGACTGGCCCTGATCAGTCCACTGTCACAATACTGGTTGCCATATGATAACTACTCAGTAACTACCATGGCAGACATTTTTGCTGTCTCCTAGGACTTTCTTCCTACAACTCCCCCGCCAACAATGTAAGAAGACAAATAACATACAAACAACATAATGTAATGTAAAAATGGAATACATATTAGCTTTGGACAAATGGCTAATATTATTTTCTTAGAGTATATAAATGAAGTATAAGCCCACTGCTTCCAATATGCCCAAACTTGATTTATAGTTCATTGCTGAAATATACAAGACACATAACAAGTGATTAAAAATGAAATTGGACGAGGGTAGTTGTCAATGTATAGAGGATTCTTGTCAGATACCTCTATCTCCATCTAAAACTCTAACATGAAACCATGAAGAACTATTGTTGGTACCTGAAGAGTTAGAATCCTCTTGGTAGTAATAATTGTGCATGAATGAAATCAGCATTTGGATGAGGAAAGGATATCCCATATTGGAAAGTAATCATAGCTTTTATGTTCTTGTGTGTATATGCTTTGACAGTTTTTTGGAGACTACAGCCTATTTCTTCATGAAACCAAAACTTGGAGAGAAAGAGGTGTCCCCAAATGTTTTCTTCAGTATCTGGCATGAATTCAGCTCTGACTTTAAAGACTTTTGGAAGAAAGAGAACAAACTTATTCTACAAGAAAGGTAGGTATTTTCTTTTTCACAATGGCATTTAAAAACTGGAATTTTATTAGGTGTAATACCACTGGAGTTGCCAACATTCATGGCCTGAATGAAAAATTAGATGACCCTCAGCCTGGGGCAGCAAGTCTAAAAGGGTGCTGACATTTGACAGAATTTGGAGTTTTAATAATAAGTGTCAGCCCTAGGCTGTGATACTACAGAGAATAGCTGGGGGGGGGCGGGTAGGGTCAGTTTGAAGGGACCACTATCTGGTAAAACAATTTTTGTCGTGAAAACAGACACACACACACACACACACACACACACAAAAGCAAACCATGTAAGAAGGGTCAAATAACCCCACTGGGATAATAAACCCGCTTACCACTAAACAGGATAGCAAGGGATATCAAGATAAGAGGAATAGTTTTTCTGTTTGTTTTTGATCAAACACATGGGATATTGTCAGTCTCACATTCTTATCCAAATGTCACCAAGAAACACAGATGATCAATAGTTTTTAAAAGGTCTTTCAATATTCTTGTGGAATTGCATCACATTTCCTAAAATAAATCTTCTCAGGAATGAAGGAAAATTTCTCCTGTTAAGTATATGAAACAATGTCTTTGTGATTATGAAATTCCACAGAGGGGTATTAAATATTAAGCCATGAAGAAAGCTAGCCCTCCCAGCTCAGCCTCCCTAAATAACTGGGTCTAGTGGGAAATGAAAGGGAAATTTAATCCACACTATAAAGCAAAGCCTAATACCGAACAAATTAGTGTACTTCCTAACATCCCTGCAGTAACAATGACTTTGCTTTAGAGCTTTAGAAAACATACATCCTGAGAGATTTGGTTCATCACTACCACAAAATTCCAATTTTCTGCTTACTGTCTTTATTTTAGTCTGCTTCCATATGAAAGCCTAATGTCAGCATAGGTTTTGGTATCTCCTTAAATCAGGTGAAATAATTGCTAATGTTTATTGAGCATGTAGAAAATGCCAGACCTGTGCCCACTCCTATGATTGCAGTCACATGTCTCTTAACAATGGGGACATGTGCTGAGAAATAAATTGCTGGGTGATTTCATGGTTGTGTGAACATCACAAACTGTGTTTATATAAACTTACATGGCCATGGCATCCCCAGGTAATTTACTTCTTTGGGATCATTGTCATATATACCATAAGTTACTGACTAAAGTGTTATACAGCACATGACTATAATTTCTCAGGTTCATAGATTTGTCATAGGAGAAGCTCCACCCCTGTGAATAGCGGATGGGAAAAAAGAGCAGTCTGGACAAAAGCAAAACTTATTATCATTATTATTATTAGTTGTCAATGGACCTTTATTTTATTTATTTTAACATGGGGCTGAGAATTGAACCCAGTGTCTCACACATGCTAGGCAAGTGCTATACCACTAAGCTACAGCCCTAGGAAAACACTTTAATTGTCATTCTAAACATAATGAGCTTCGATCTCAAAATGCATCAGTAGGAGTCAGCTTAAAAGTTGAGATGTTAGTAATTTAATAAATAATGCTTTAAAATAGACACATTTGAATCATTTTTACTTTCTTTCAGATTCAGTCATGTACTAAGTGATTTTTCTACTTAAAAAAAAAAAAGAGAAAAGCTTGCTCAGGTTAGAAAATTGTAAGGGAGAAACTTTTTTTAAAAAAGAAGCATTTGTAACCTTAGCATAACGCACACAACTTCCCTTCTTTCATCCCTAATCTAAACTTACTGCCCTAGAAAAGGATCTGAAACTCACTCACACTAAGATTGAAGATGGAAAAAAGTAGCATTTCACTTGGCATGAATATTTGCATCATGTCTAGGATTAGAGACCTTAATACTGTCATTAAAAAACAAATGACAGCGGAGGAATGGTATGATTTGGGCATCAAAGAGACAGAAATAAGTACAAGAATAGCTGCCCTGATGCACATCAGGTAAACAAGGACAGGAGCAGTCTCTTCATGGCTCTTACCTCTACCACCATGCCAAACATAAAAACTGGTGAGATGCCTCCTGGGAGAAAATGTTGAGACTGAGTCAGATGCACAGCTACTAGGCATACTCAGTCTCATCCAATGTAGCTTTGTGAGATACTATATTATCAGCAACAATCCTATTTCTATGGGATAATATATATTTGACATGCCTGAAATAAGCTTTTCCTCAACTTTCTTACTATTTTCTAACACCAACCAGATCTTTTTTATGCTGCTTGGTGCTTGTGGTGTCTCTTTCATGCTATGCGGCTCTTGGACTCAGGCTTGGTGACCCTACTTTGATTTTGGCAATATTGTGAATTGGCAGGATACAAGTACTCTTCACTACAGATTCTAATTTTACTGAATCATATGCTTTTAATAAATGGCTCAAAGGGAATACACGGCAGGTGAGAGAACGCTGCTCATCTTTTGACTTCTGACATTTGTTATACCTCTTAGCAAATGATAACCAACTCTTCTGAAGAGCAAAGTCATTCATCTGAAAGGAACAACTCGGTTCCTTTCTTTAGTGCAGGACCACCTACATAAGTTCTAGGGAACAATGTAAAACAAAAATGCCAGATCCCTGTTCAGTAATTAACAACTTCAAGACAGCAAAGCATTAAACCAAGCCCAGAACCCTTTTGTGAGTTGAAACCCAAGTGACTGCCCAACTGCACACCCTCTGGGTGTGCCCTTTTTCCATCCTATTTTCTGTAGTAAATGGATGGGTATTTCAGGAATGCTTTGAGGGCCCTGGGAGGGGCATGGATGGGAAATGAGGGTGTGGCCAGTTTAGAGTGGGAAACCTTTCATCAAGTCACCCTCATGTGAATAGAATCTCAAGTAGAATTACAGATACTTAAAAATGGGATGTTGTTCCCCAACTTTTTATTTCCCTCCACTGTTATAATATCTATTATCAGCATATTTTGCTTTAATGGCTTATCCTTTACTAACACTAGATCTATATTTTATACTTTTTTCCCCTTTTTTCTTTTTTCTGTTTGCATTTTGGTGTTTATTTCCCAGCAAGATGGTCCTCATTTCTGGTATAGCTATGATTTGTCACTTATCTATACCACCTTTCCTCTCCTAGTGTCTCTATAAATATTTGCTGATTTGACTTGTTACATCATTGTCTTTGACATGAACATGGAAATAAGAACTTAGCCTGCTAAAAAAATGAACGTGTTTTCTCACATGTTGATTATTGTAGGTCATAAAAATATCACTGCCAATACCTTAAGCAAAAAGAAAGACTTATTTATTTATTTACTTATACACTCAAACCACAGACATGCAGGGATGAAAACCTGCCTATGGAATGCAGATTCAACTTGCAGTCAGTGGGATAGGTGGGTGTGTCTGCACCTCTCTTTTGCTCTGTGTCTTTTTAAAATGTTCTTTCTGTCTATTCTTCCTTCTCTTCCTTTTTTTCTTTACTCTTTGTTCTTTATTTCGCTTTTTCATCTTCTTCTCTTCTATCTCTATCTCTATCTATCTATTTCTATCTCTTACCCCACTTCTATCTCCCTCTTTCTACCTCCTACTCTCCCGCAATTTTCAAGCCAGGCTGCCCTTTTCAGAGAGGGCACAGCTTACATTCTCACAACCCAGGAGCACAGACTACTGTTCAACTTCATCTAAACAAAATCCCAGAGGTTAACTCCAAATGACTTTTGTTCGTCTTTGGATCTGCCACAGTGGCCCTGGGATGGGAGACCCATCTCAGCAGTTCACAAACTAACTAATTACCATGATTGGTAATTTTCTTCATAGCAGTATCATTGGGGTGAAGAAAGAGCTGTTTCCTCTGCAAAAGTAAACAATAATCTACTGCCCTAACTTATCAAGCCTGTAAAAGTAACCCTTATAGTTACCAAAATATCTTACCATGGTGGATATAACCTGAACAATATTAGTGGTGTCCTTGAAAACTTCTTTCCTGATGAAGTTTTCCTTGCTTTAATTTGATATTTATAGATTAAATAATATCTTTAAGGGTTAAATCCTGTAATCATTTTCCTTACCCTGTTTTTCCTAATTGGTGTCTGGTTATAGAGTGGTAGAAACTCTGTATTTTCTGGCTTTGTCCTGGTAACTGGTATGATTTAGTTGATCTATTTCTTTTTTTTTTTTTTTTTTTAATTTTTATTGTTGGTTGTTCAAAACATTACATAGTTCTTGATATATCATATTTCACACTTTGATTCAAGTGGGTTATGAACTCCCATTTTTACCCCATATACAGATTGCAGAATCACATCAGTTACACATCCATTGATTTACATATTGCCATACTAGTGTCTGTTGTATTCTGCTGCCTTTCCTATTGATCTATTTCTTAAAATGGTGAATTCCTACACATTCATATTAAATAAATCTGCTCTTTTCTTGTAGGTGAGTTTAGGAAAAAAAAAAAATGAGAACTTTTTTTAGTTGCCCTAATTGCTAGCTCCAAAATCATAAAAAGGCATTTATCCTCCAAGAATCATTGTTTTCTAATCTGCAAAATTGGGTGATAAAACCTGTCTCAATGGTGTTGTGTAGACCAAATAAGATAATGTGGTAATGTATATAGTGCAGTATCTATGTGCTAGGTGATCAGTGGCTGTTTCTCCATCATTTAATATAAATGAAATCCCAATCATGGCTCCATACAATATGATGTGGTAAACTGATAAGACAAGTGGCATACTGATAAGTATTTTAAGAACATAGTCTGTAAATACAAGGTATTATTGTGACTCAGTTAATTTCCTGGCTATATAAAATGTCTTGGAGTCCAAGAGTAAATTTTTATATGGAAATGGTAGTATAACTTATACCTCCATATTTACACTGTGTGATTGATACAATGGAATCCATTTCTAATGCTTAGAACAACTAACCCATTGGTCTTTTGTCATAGTCAAAAAAAAAAGTTTTTTCACCAGGTTGCAAGTACGCAAACAGAATTGCTAATAAGAAATCCTCCTTTTTAAAGATCCAGACATGTCTTCACTGAACA